GATTTTATTGATGTATTCTCTAGCTCAGAGATTCTTTCTTGTCATGTCCAGTTTACTAATAAACCCATCAAAGGCATTCTTCATATCTGTAACAGTGTTTTTAATCTCTAGCATTTCTTTTTGGTTCTTTTGTACGCGCTCCATTACTCTGCTCATATTGCCCATCTGTCTTGCATAGTGTCTACTTTATATATTAGAGCCCTTAGCATATGAATCAGAGTTGTTTTAAGTTTAATTCCAACATCCTTGCCATATCTGGTTCTGATGCTTACTCTGCCTTGTCAAATTTTGTTTTGTTGCTTTTTGATATGCCTTCCAATTTTTCTCAATAAACATGATGTACTAGGTAAAAGGAACTGTGATAAATAGGCCTTTAGTAACATAGTAGTGAGGTATGGGGGTAGGGGAAACTTTCTAGAGTCCTATGATTAGGTCTCAGTCATTTAGTGAACCTATACCTCTGGACCATGAACTTCACACGAGTTCCTTAGTTTTTTTCTCCCCCCTTATGTGTGACAAGATGGCTGCAGTGGGCTATTGTTGGCTATTTCTCTTCCCCAGGTCACTTAGACTCTGATAATACCCCAGTAGTTTAGACTGTCATTAACCAGTCTGCCCTGAGGACAAACCTTTCTTAGAAAAACAGTGCTCTGGAGTATTTTGAAATGGTTTCTCCCTCCCATTGCTGGAAGCAGAGGGGAATTTTCTCTAGTATTTTCTGTGGGAATCTAGTCATGCTCCTGGAGGTAAATCTCAAAATAATGCGGAGCCCCTCCTTTATTTGCCTGCAGTTCTTAACTCTCAGATACGTCCACACTGAGCATCCAACAATTCATCCATTACAATTGAGGTTTCCTTACCCTGGCACTGGTTCCTGGGGTGGCTTTCACTCCTGACTCTTTACTCTGTAAGTTAAGACTCCCTGTATTTGCCTGACTGTCTCTCCAATTTGGGGACAGCAGTTTGTCACCCCTTTCTTAAGGATCAAAGAAGAGTTGTTGATTTTTCAGTCTGTTCAGCTTTTTGTTAGGAGTGGTGATTTCCAAAGCTCCTTACATGTGGAACCTGAAACCAGAAGTCCTATACTTTTTATTTTATTAAATTGGGAACCTACTAAATTGATAATTTTGTAACTTGGAATTTTTTCAGTTATATTATAAACTTGTTCCTTATTGGTAAATACTCTTTGATGGAATTTTTATTGGCGACAGTATCTTTTTCGTAGTGCATATTTTTATCTAGTCCTTTATTGGTTAGACTGCTTCCAATTTTCTGCATTATAAACAGTACTTGTGTGACTGTTCATGGAAATAAATCTTTTTGTACGGTCATGATTATGTCCTCAGGGTAAATAAAAGAGATCTTCCTAACCTAATGCCACAAAAGAATTTAGCAGAAAACATCTAGATACTGCCGTGGTAGAGTAACTTCCACCTCCTTCTAAGGTGATTACATAAAATCAATTTCCTTGTTCTTTCATCAATTCACAAAATGATTGAGCCAGTTCTACACAATCTTCCTTCTACTGTTTTGGTGTGTGTATGTGTGCGTGCACACGTTTGTGTGGGGGGGGGGGAGGAGAGAGAGAGAGAGAGAAAATGAAACTGCTAATGAAACTATTTTAAATTGTTAGAGAAATAAGGTCTATTTTTTTCTTTTTTTAATTTAAATTCAATTAGCCAACATATACTACATCATTAGTTTCAGATGTAGTGTTTGCATATAACACCCAGTACTCATCACATCACATGCCCTCCTTAATGCCCATCATCCAGTTACACGATGCCCCCACCCCCTTCCCTTCTGTAACCCTCAGTTTGTTTCCCAGAGTTAAGAGTCTCTCATGTGGGGGGTGGGTGGGAGGGATGGGGTGACTGGGTGATAGACACTGGGGAGGATATGTGCTCTGGTAAGTGCTGTGAATTGTATAAGACTGTTGAATCTCAGATCTGTACCTCTGAAACAAATAATGCAATATATGTTAAGAAAAAAAAAAAAAGAAGAACATAGCAGGAGGGAAAGAATGAAGGGCGGAAATCGGAGGGGTAGACGAACCATGAGAGATGATGGACTCTGAAAAACAAACTGAGGGTTCTAGAGGGGAGGGGGTGGGAGGATGGGTTAGCCTGGTGATGGGTATTGAGGAGGGCACGTTCTGCATGGAGCACTGGGTGTTACGCACAAACAATGAATCATGGAACACTACATCTAAAACTAATGATGTAATGTATGGGGATTAACATAACAATAAAAAATTTTTTAAAAAAAGAATCTCTCATGGTTTGTCAATAAAGGCTATTTTTCATTTCAAGGAAGACTAGTACTTGGAAGAACCAGGAAATCCCGGGTATTTTTTTTGCTTTTATTCTGCAACTTTCATAGGACAGCAATAAAAAAAAAAAGCACTGTCCTTAGATGTGGCATGGGGATAGCTCCTCTCTAGAGGGCATCTTTTTTGTTATTCTGCTTTACTGATAGAATTACCTCTATGAAGCTGGTGACTTCACTTTTTTTTTTTTTTTTGGATGAGATAGACAGCTGCTTCCATCTATATTGCCTTTGATCTTTTTTATCCTGTCGGTGTCCTTTTGCCACACACCACTAGGAACACACCTATACTTGAACTATTTGGATTTTTTGCTACCTGCAGTGAAGGGAAGGCACACCATAGAAAACCATGGGCCATCTCAGTGAAAGAGTATTAGAAAAGACTTACTATAGGATTTAGGCTTGTTGTTAAGTGATTTGAGGGAGGTTTCAAGAAAGCCATTTGCAACGACGTGGATGGAACTGGAGAGTGTTATGCTGAGCGAAATAAGTCAATCAGAGAAAGACATGTATCATATGATCTCACTGATATGAGGAATTCTTAATCTCAGGAAACAAACTGAGGGTTGCTGGAGTGGGTGGTGGTGGTGGGAGGGATGGGGTGGCTGGGTGATAGACATCAGGGAGGGTATGTGCTATGGTGAGTGCTGTGAATTGTGCAAGACTTGAATCACAGATCTGTACCTCTGAAGCAAATAATACATTATATGTTAAGAAAGAAAAAAAAAAGAAGATAGCAGGAGGGGAAGAATGAAGGGGGGGAAATCAGAGGGGGAGATGAACCATGAGAGACGATGGACTCTGAAAAACAAACTAAGGGTTCTAAAGGGGAGGGGGGTGGGAGGATGGGTTGGCCTGGTGATAGGTGTTAAGGAGGGCATGTTCTGCATGGAGCACTGGGTGTTATATGCAAATAATGAATCATGGAACACTACATCAAAAACTAATGATGTAATGTATGGTCATTAGCATAACATAATAATAAAAATAAATAAATAAATAAAGATGAATCTGAAAAAAAAGAAAGCAAGGCTTTGCAATAGTTTGCTTGCTGTAAAAAAGCAGTTGTAATTTTCTGATTTGATATATTAATGACTTTTATCCAAAATTAGGTGACCAACTATCCCAGTATGCCTGAGATTGAGGGGCTTCTTGGGACACAACATGTTCAGTGGCCAAACCAGGAAAATCCAAGGCAAACTGGGAGGAGTAGTTTACCCTATCTAGAGGGCAAGCGAAATGAAAAGAGAGGCTAAGGCTGAAATTGGCAAAGAAGTAATAGCTACTGACAGGAGCTAGGATTTGGGATGTTTGGTCATTTTTGTGATTTTGGCAATGTTCATGTTTTTGCTTGGATTCAGACATGACTACAAAGTGATCTCTCATCTCTGACTTGATCCATCATGGTGACAGGGTGGCCATGTCTGATGTTGCTTTCACTAGGAGAACATTGGGCCAGCTCCCAGCAACACCAAGGTTTTTACACAGGGTCAGAGCAATTTCTAGCTGTCAGGGGCTGTTTTCCTTTTTTCCAGTTCTCTTCTTTATGGATTTGAGGGATACTTTTGGAATTGACCTAAGAGTTTACACATGTGATCTAGTTGCTAGAGACTTGGTTTCAGCCACATTGATCTGTACCCTAATGAGATGCTTTAAGCTTTGAAACATTGAGTAATAAAACAGTTATCCATCACCCTTAACACAACTTTTTTTTTCTTCAATAGAGAAAAATGTTTTAACATTTGAGAACAAATGCTAAGTTACTAAATGTTAAAACAAGAAGAAATCAAATATTCTTTCCCCTTGAGATTCAAAACTCACATTAGCATATTTCACTGTTCTTAGTAATACTGCTGTAAAGAAACCTAGCTTATCTGATATAGAACAAATGTACTTTTCACAGAACATATAAACATTTGCATGAACATTAATATTTCACTATTAAACCAGTGTTGTATGGATATACTAGTTTATTTAGTGGTGTTTCCCAGTTGTGCTTTTTGTTTTTAAAAATTAGAAATATATTTAAGGAGTAAATAATTATTCTGATTTAAAATAAAATAAATTTTCCATGGGGCGCCTGGGTTTTGCCAAAATCACATTGCCAAAATCACAAAAGTGACCAAACAGTCGGTTGAGTGTCGGCCTTCAGCTCAGGTCATGATCCCAGGGTCCTGGGATCCAGCCCCCCATCGGGCTCCCTGCTCCACGGGAAGCCTCCTTCTCCCTCCCCCACTGCCCCCGCTTGTGTTCCCTCTCTTACAGTCTCTCTCTGTCAAATAATAAATAAATACAAATCTTAAAAATAAATAAAAATAAAATAAATTTTCTTATTTACAGTAATTGAAAAGATAGTTTCATCTTTTTCAGGTTTGCTAATTTAATATTAAGAAAAATGTTAAATGGTGGTTAGATTTTTTTTGAGAGAAAACCTTAAACTAATAAATGAACATATATAGTTGGTGTAGTTTAGTCACTAAGGTTATAATACTAGTTAAATTGTGAAACATTATTTTAATTATTAACATTCAGCTATCTTAAACTATTCTGTTGTCCTGTATATTAATTAAATTAATTATTTAGCAATTAATTTTTATAACAATGGTGGAAATAATATAACCTTAGCTATGTTATAATCATGATATAGTTCACATTCATGAACTTCTCTCTAGATTCTGACGACTACCTTGAGGTCAATATTCCAACAGACCTAGGAGTGGAACATTCTGGGGAAATAAGTAAGAGAAAGGAAATTGAAGAATTATCAAAAGCTTCAAGAGACACCATACCCCTGGCAATGGTGCTTCCTACTGAAATTCCATGTGAGGTGAGTAAGATACCTTATTTAAGTGGCTGGCTCTATTGTTTTCATAAATATTGCATTTCACTAGAATGTAAGCTCTAACATAGCTGGGCACTTCTGTTTACTTTGTTCATGGCTGTGTCCTCAGAACCCAGAACAATATCTGGCAATTAGTAGGCATTTGATAAATATTTGTTGAATAATTTAATATTAGAGAATATATGAAAGCCTAATTTTATCAAGTGGTATTTTACATGTTGCCAAAAGATATATAATTGCTATATATACCAAGCCACTTAAAATAAAAGTTGGATTCATATTAACCAGATCAAGGATTTTATTTTTATAAATGGAAACATATTCTTGAATAGGATTTGAGAATACTTATATTCTAGGATCACCGATTTTTCAATTCTGAATCATGTATTAAAGGCCTACATTATTAAGTGGAAATCATGTATTAAAGGACCACCTAGATGAGGTGGTCCTTTCAGGAATAAAAGGATAATGTAGCAGGGGATGGAGTGTGGATTTCTGAGAAGGTGACTATATGAGTACATGTCTTCCTCCTAAGTCATCATTGGAATGAACTACTAAAATAAACATACTGGTAGAGCTTGACCCGAAACTGGGTCTACATAATCTCCAGACAATAGAAAGATGCTGGTCCTCAGTGTCTGTGGTGTCCTTCAGTGGAACATGCCAAAGATACAGGAGAACGGGAGAGCCTTGGAAGTTGCATGAAAGGGTCCTTCTGGGAGAAGCCAGTGGATTTATGCCACTGGGTGACAGGGGCTGCATTTGTCTGTTTGCTAGTAGCTGTCTTTGGGAAAAGAATCTCCTGTTCTTGCTGGTACTAGCAATCCTGTGCAGTTGGGCAAAATGTAATTCCTTCATCCTCAGACCCCATCCCTAAGCAGAAGACTCATTGTTTTAAGCTATTATGCTATCAATTCCAGAGAGACAAGAACTTCTTTGACACTACCTTTCACATCTCTCTTTGGTATCCCACTTTTTAAGGAATCCTAAGAGTTGGAAGGTCATACAAGATTATTTTAGTGCCAGCCACATGCACTAAAAAATTCAAAATAAACCGATCTCTGGATGAAAGATAGTTATCCCAGCCAAAATCTTGTGTTCTTAGAACCTAGATCTTAGTGCAATCTGAGTCCATGTAACAATGGCCAAGTACCAAAGGAAAGATCATTTGTAGCCAAATGAGTGAAAATGGTGTTTGAGATTTGCCAGGATAACTTTCAGTCTATGCCAGTTGTCTGAAAGCACAACCTCAAGCTTACTCATTTCTGAGACATCTTCCAATTAGTGGGTAAGTAGAGACCACTGAAGAACAGGGCCCCCTCTCCCACTAAGTGAGACTTGAGACTTCGCCACCGTCTTACAAAATCTAGACATTTAGCATACTAACATTGCTAGTCACCAGGTCTTAGTTGACACATGCCTCTTTCACACCCAGCACCTTCGAAATCTAGTGAGTTCCCTTACAGTTTTGTGTTTCCAGCATGCCAGCGCTGAGCTGGGTAGGAGTTTTATATAATGGCATGACCTTCATTCTCTCTGATTAAGGGGGAGTTAAGGTCTCTCCTGCGGCAGCCTCTTGCTGTGAAATTGCTTGGGTCTGGACCTGCCTCTTAGAGAAGTTCCCTCCCTGTTCCCTTATCTGTTCTGGAGAATCAACATTACCTGGGGCAGCAGGCGATGTTGCTACTGCTTTTGACCCAGGAGCATGGAAGTAATGATCCTTCTGCCTATTAATCTTTCCCAGCATTGTTCCTTCCCTTGGATTTTGGATTTCATAGGCCTTGAAAATCTTGTGCCACTTTAAAAACAGCAGGATATATATTTTCTTCAACATTGTGTCTCATGTGCTAGTGAAGATATTCCTCCAATGTTCTTTTTATGTAGGTTATTCCCTGTCTTTTTGAAAAATACCTGGATAAGTCTTAACAGCTTAAATCTGCTACTCAATTTGGCCTCTTCTATTACCTTTTCTAGGATTAGCATTCTTTGCTATATTTTAGTGTTTTTAATTTTTTTTATTATGAGCCAACACATTTGTTTTTCTAGCATATTCCTCTTGATTTTTTCTTGCATGGTAATTGATCGTGAGAGGTAGGAAGTCAACAAGTTCTAGGCCTGCCAAACACATTCATTGTATAAATGAGTCTTATCCAACTTTATGTCCCTAGTGAGAAATCCACCTGGGAGGCATTTTTCCACTGGAAGACATCTAAACCAGAACTGGTCCTGCTCTATTTACCAGCTTTTCTTTCCTGTGCTGTGTATTACTACAAAGTCCTAACTTCATTAATTCCTTGGGCAAATTCCCTCAGAGCGGTAGTTCTCATCTGGGAGTGATTTTGCCCCTCTTTCCCCAGAAGGTTTTTGGCAAAGCCTCCAGACAGTTTTGGTTGTCATAACTGGGAGATTGATACTGGCATCTAGTGGGTAGAAGTTACAGATACTGTTAAACATCCTATAATACTAGGGTAGTCCCCACAACAATGACTTCTTCCAAAAAATGTCAATAGTACCAAGGTTAAATTGTGTCTCCGAGGATAGGAGATATATTTATGGCCCTTACAGTAATAAGTTACCTTCAACTCACCTAATAATGGCATCAAGAATTCAGCACCCCCCTTCAGAGGCTTCTCTGCAATCCACCTGGTTGTTCTAGAATCACTTGTTAGGACTGCACAATCTATAAGCAGTGAATCTAGTCGCTCTTTTTTATGGATTTTACCTGGAGCTTTAAGAGGGAACCTCTAAATGTTTTCCTCAGTGGGCCCTGTTGGAAGTATTGTAGGTTGCTCTCTGATGCCTTGTGCCTCGTATGTTTTTTCTGCAACCCTGGTCACAGGTGCATGAATGGCTTCACTATTTCCTCTTCAAGAGCACCATCCTAAGAAGCAGTTAGGAATGAGCTTCTTTTCTTTATCTTGTTGGGTTTTTTTTATTATGTTATGTTAATCACCATACATTACATCATTAGTTTTTGATGTAGTGTATATCTTGTTTTATCTGTATAGGCAGGCCTGCAATCTATCATTTTCCCTTCCTTTTGATAGAAATCTGTCTATTGCAATCTCAGTTTTTCTCTCCCCCCCCCCCGAATCTCTTACTTCCTTGAGTATGATTAACTGATATTTCTTTATTTTTATGTTATTGTCCCACTGCTGCTTTTCTGATAAGACTGAAACGGTTTTAAAACCAGTCCAGTCACTTGTTGACTTCTTGAGCAAATTTAATTCTTAAAGTTATAGTATAATTTGCAAGGCCTTTTAAGTGGCTTTATCAACATTTGGATCTATATTAATTATATTAATATAATATGTTATTATATTATTATATATTAATTTCATTGAATTGTCTTTGTATCTAAATCCTAGGACATGCATATTCGCTACAAAAGATCTTTGTTTTATTTGACCTGTTCCTTGACATACTTCTGTAGCTACAACTGTAATGTGAGTCTCCAAATCCATAGTGCAGACCTGATTATGTAGTCAACAAATCTAGAAGAAACCCTTAGACTATATGCAGCGGTATGATTCTAAGGACCCATGGGAAAGCCGCAAGACTTTGGGTACCTCCGACCCATTCATTCCTTGGCCCCAGATACAGTTTAAAATAATATACGGATGCTAACAGCACTGCCCACTTATTTTTCATACCAAATCTCACACTAGTTCTTGGTAACCAACCTTAATTTAAAATCTGATCCTGTGCCTTCATTGAAAGATACAGGAAAAGCAATAAAAGATTATTGTGTGTATCAGTGCCTAAAATGTCTATGTTGTGAGTCCTACCCCGTTGGTTGTAAGGTTTTACAGTGACCGAAAGACATCTTTTCTCTTTAACCAAGTGGCTCTCAAACTAAGCTGCACGTAGGGACTATTAGGTGAGGTTTAAGAAAAATAATGCCTGAATCCTATCCCCAAAGATTCAGATATAAACAGTCTGGGTGATGGCCTGGACATTGGCAGTTTTAAAAGCTTTTCAGGTATTCCTGAAGGTGAGAATTAACAGCCAAATTTAGAACTATTGCATAACCTAATCCTTGCTGTGCTGTCATGGGTCAGATAGAGGTCAGCTGTAGGAACCTGTACAATCCTGGCTTAATAAAGCGCATGCAACTCTGCTTGTTAACTAGTGCCTATTAAAGTAGTCATGAACACATGAAAAGAGCCAATGGTCTGTGTACAAAAGTCATAATGATCCACTGGGATAAAAATCCTTTGTTGCCTGTGTGTAATACATCCTTAAAACCTAAAGAACCAGAAACTTCACCATCTATATGTTATATCATAGACCAAGTTCTAGTCCTTTTGTTTAGGACTCAAGGATTGTGACCAATGCCACAAAACTTTAGACTTTGGAAGTGATGATTATCAGAATTCTTTCTGGCTCTGAATGTTCAGAACCAAATAAGGGATAAACAGATGAGTCAGAAAGAATGAGAGCAAAATAGCTTCGTAACTGATAAAACCAAATTTACGATCATTTGAGTGTCATAGTACTTTCTCTATTTAATTAAATGTACCCATATAATTGTATTTTTAATTAAGATGTGCATAATAGTTAAGGACAAGGCTGGACAGTGCAGACCTTCCCTCCTAGAGCAGGCCGCTTCCTCCTTGGAGATGCAGGAAACAGATGAAGTGGTGAGTCCTAAGGGGTGTAAGAAGTAGAGTTGGGCATGTTCAGTTTCAAAATATCATATTCTAACAGACTTATTCCATCTTAATTTTAAAAATATGTACAGATTGTCTCCTATGTACATAATTCTTGCAAGATGCCACAATGATATGAAAATACAAAAAATACTTCAGGATGTGGAAAATCTAGCTGGGAAGCCAAGACATAGACATGAAAAACTAATTAAGAGCAGAGGGCATGACTTTCAGAAAAGGTCAAATGAGGAGTATGGGTATGAAATGCTCCATGATTCCTTTGGAAGTTATTGTGGGCTAAAGTTGTAGGGAGGATTTATGGAGCTTGTGAAA